GGGAAGGATGAGGGTGAGCTCCCCCCCTCCCCTCCCCCACCCACAGATGGGATCCACAACTCAGCCTCGTGTTTTCCGCTGAGCTCAGCAGAAATTCACCCAGAAGGTCAGTGACCAGAGAAAGGGACGATCCATCATTAAATAAATTGTTTTCATTTCCCAGGATAAAGGGCAGGAAAGGGGGGGTGGGGGTGGGGGTGTGTTGGAGTGGGACTGGGAAAAAAAAAGAGCACAAGGCAGGAAAACTACCCCCTGTGCTCCCTGCCATTAGCAACCTCAGCTCCTTCCCCATGCTCTTGCAGGGCTTTTACAGCTAAAGCTCTTAATGTGATTATAATAATTATTTCTTTCCTAGGAATTTTTTTTTTTCAATAAACAGCCTCTTTTGAAATGTTGCTGGGGGAAGCCAAGACTCCAGCTGAGCCCTGGCCCGGAGGAAGGAGCAGGGGCTGAGGGAGCGTGCGAACATGCGCGGGTGCGTGCAGGCGAGCATGTGTGTGCGGGAGCGTGCGGGTGCCTGTGGGGGCACCCTGGGCGGAGGGGGGACTCCACTGGAGTGTGCAAGCACACCCGGGGCTGTGAAAACCCAGTGGTTCCCTGGGGACCGGCAGGCGGAGGGGGGGTTCCTCTCCATCTCTCTAGGTCCAGGTGCCTCATTGAACCCCCCCTCACACCCCTGCTCTCCCACTCCTCTGTGTGGTCCCCCCAGCCCCAGAGCTGGGCTTTGAAATCTGTTGAAAAGAGACCCTTTTTGCCAAAATAAACAGCCTGTCATGTTAAATTACTCTCCCTTCCTCTCTACCTCCCCTGCCTGCATCCCAGCTCCCCATCGCAGCCTTTTTGCCAGGGGCCATGCTGCTCTGAGCAAACTCCCGGCTCTGGTGGGATGCTCATGGGGTGCAGGGGTGCCAGCACTGGGGCACAGCATCACCTACCTCCCACATCCCAGTCTTCCTGTCCCCTGCCAGCTCCTCCATCTGCCAGCTCAACTCCCCAGAGCCTTTCTGCTGGGTGTCGATGGCATCTTGCAGGATCTGGGGCCCAG